ATTTCGCGGTCCGGTCTTATACAAACTCATTGTACAGGATACCCCCACTCGCATGTCTCCACACGAACGACCTGGATCGAGTCGTCTGTAACCTTTACAGAGTGGGCCGTATCCATAGTGTTGCCAGGATAAGGTACCCAGCCTTATCCATATACTATAGACCCTTTAGGTTATTCACGAGACATTATCCATTCATATATCAGGGGTATATCAAATATATACCCCGTATATCAACTATATACCCAGTATATATACTGTCCCGATTACATCAAAATTAACCTTGGATGTTTAGTTTATTGGATTTTGGACAATGCAAAGCTAAGATTCAACAACAAATTTATTGAATAAAACTTTATTAAATAGACATTTGTTTTTACAAAATACAAACTACGAGTTTAGGGCAACACACCCAACAGAGCTAACCTGGCTTTGATACCACTTGTCACAATCGCACCTTTTTAATGCAACTTGAGCGATTGTGCGGTACTTGCTCTAGCTCAAACGAGCAAGTCAGCCGAGAAAAATTGTAAGTTACGGGCAATCTCAGTCGTTGGTCTAGCCTCCGTTCACGTTTTACGAGAAAATTGGTTTTGAAAAACGTGAGAGAGAAAAATAGTTGAAAACATCTTTAAAACAAGCATTGTAAACATTGGATGCAAGAAAGCTTTGATTGCAAGAAAGTATACAACACTTGGTCGGGGGGTGGTTTGATGACTACTTGGTTCCCCCTAAGGTACATTATAAAGCATTTTTGGTGTGGCAGGTGTAGACATGCAAATTGGTGAGGAGTCACTCGGTGGCCTAGAGGGCCCGTGTGAACTCCGATTGGCTTGAAATTTGGCGTGCTTACATACCTTACCAATACACACCTAGTTCCAAAGCCGCTCAGCCAAATTCCACCTACAACCACAAATACCCGATACAAACAAACTACACTAGAAAGCTTTAAAGACATGAAAGTAAAGCGCTGGTGAGGATGGTTTGGACATGCGGCCATGGGTAACACACCCTAGATAAGCATGCCCACAACACTCAACTCCCAAAATGCCACTTTCATGTTTTTTTAATCAAAATATTTATAAAAAAAGTTATTAATTTATCATTCCTAACCTTGAAATTGTGTAATAAATTATATAAAAAATATTTAATTTAAAAAATTAATTTTCATATAAAACATTTAATGCAGGTTAATAAATGGGCACATAGTTTTTAAGTGCCCTTTTTAATCCTATTAATTTCTGATTCAAATTAAGTTAAAACACATTTGGTCCCAAAACTTTCATTAAAGTAACGATCTAGTCTTTGAGCCTTTAAAAGTAACGTTTTAGTCCCTGCATTTTAAAATTAGTCACAATTTAGTTCCTTACAATTAAATATTAGGTTAGATTTAACAGCAGTTTTGACATGGCTGCGAACAAGGATGCAAATGTATAAATTAAAAAGGTCATCCGTACATCGGTTAGTTCAGGATCAAGTTGGTTCAATCCGAACCGGTTTGTGGCTTTAAATAAGAAAGAAACATAAAAACGAAGGAAGACGCTTCCCCCACACTCTTTCGATTCGGCATCGTCCACCCTTTTTCGTGGAATTCCATGCTTAAGGTTTCAGATTCTGATCTCTATTTTCAGTTTTTCAAATACCCATCGTCTCCGATTTTCAAACCCCATCCCTATTAAGGAGTAGCTTAACTCTATTTGTGACTGAAATAACAAAGTATTTCTCGATTTGGTAATGCAACATTCCCACATATCGCAGCGAGGAACTATTTTTGGGGTTGAAAATCCCAGTTAAAAAAACTCTTAACTCATTTGCAAATATAACGGTTTCGTTAATACTGTTCTTAATTCTCTGCCCTTGAGATTGAATCTCGTCACAAAACAGAGACCTTGGAGGTTGAATCTACTACGTCACAAATTACAAAAGAACCAAAGAAGACTGAAAATTACCAATAATTGTAAAGAAAACTCAACAGCCTTTATGCAATTGTCACACATATCCAGATCTCTGAATAGAAATACAGGCTGATTAGAGGCGACAATAAAGAAAAATAATAATAAACAGAGAAGCTAATGTCTAAATTTGAATGAAGAAACTTCAATGGCTGCGTTATTGGTCGATATTATGGGACTTGAGAGAAAATGGACTGGTATGATATGACCAATCCTTATC